TGCAGGTACGATGACACAGAACATCTCTTTGAAACAACCATGAAAATAGACTTTGCAAAACAATCAGGATACAATGGTCTGAGCTTTGCCATTTAAAATATAGCCAGTAAATTGTGCAGTTACTGTGAATGTTTAATGTTGTTAACCATACAGTTGTGAATGGAAGGTGGGCCCTTAACTCTTTTATCCCTAATCTTTGCTACACCACTACTATTACAAATCACTTGAGTCACAAGGCCTTACCCTAAAACTTAGCAAGGTGCTGTACAAAATAATTTAAATATTTCTTGCAAAACTGTCTTCCAAAACATTTTACAGAGAAAAAAGAGGGAGAAATTAGGTTGCTTTTTGGGGGGGAAATGATGACAAGGCAGCTAAGCAAAGAGCAAATACAGCAAATGTATTCTGAAGGAGTTGTTTTAAAGGGTCCTGCAGACAGAAAAAGGTTTTGTAAGAGGTTGAATCAAGTATGTGGAGGATTTTAAAATCAAGGACAATTTTGAATTGTGTTCTGTAATTTGTTAGTCAATAGAGTTATTTGAGTGGTAATGAAAACTAATTTGCAGTCTCCAGTCCTTTGGGTTGTGTTAGTTTAAATCATATTTAAGTATAGTTTGCCTGATCAGAGAAGCACAACCAGCATCTATCCTAGATGAGGTCCTACACGTCAGCCTAGTATGAGTTGTAAAACATTTATGCTCAGTTTATACTAAAGAAGGAAACCATACTGAAGTACTGCTAGCATATATACTGTTAAAAAGTGGATGTACCAACACTTGTGCACTGCCAATGTCTTTGGGAGTCTTACTGACAAGGGAAATAGTTCTAAATCTATAATACAGTGCCCAGTTATGATTAGGGAAATAGTAAGAGTGACTAGAAAGTAGTAATAGTGTCTTGCCTTTAGTTAATCTATTTTAAACTTGGGTTTCCCACTTTGCAGCTTGATACAGAGTAGCCACAGAGAGAACCTACATGCTATTTCGCTGAGCTGATTTTGCCTGAGCATACCCGTTTATGCTATCTTAACAAGACAGTAGCATCACAGCAACCTGAATTTAGGTAAGTAATTGTAAGAAGTAATTACAGTAAATTGAAAAAAATCTTTTGAAAAATCACTCAAAAATGCAGGTAAAAATATTGGATAGTAGAATTCAGAACACATTTATTCAGTGTAGCAGCTGGAAGGAGCTAGACTTTTTTGAAATGTGAAATTTAACTTCATTTGTTCCAACTGCTGTGCTGTATTGCTGTAAATAAGTGTCAATACTGTTGGATTTTTGTGAGTTCCTGCACAATTATTATTGATGGAGAAGGTGGAGGAAGGAAGGCAGGAAAGGCATTAGTGCCTTGAAGCAGATGCCTGTAGTCTCGGCAAAACTTCCGAAGTCTGTACAAACCACAGTAGATATGTGGGTAAGGCGAAAGTCTGCCCTGCTACAATTACAGAAAGGTTCCACCAGTTAGGAGCCCTGGCTTCAGGAAGCCCTGACTTCTTCCTTCATAAAGGACAATCTGCTCCATAAACTCAAGATCCCGATGCCTATTGATAATTAAAAAACCCTTTGACATTTGACAAAGATAGAGGGATTACATGGATGCCTTGGCCAGATTCTAATTTTAGTAAGTATATGCCAAAGTACAGTACATATATATCTAAAACTCCACTTGTGGTTTCGATCTGAATGCTATATAGTTCATGTCGTACCAACCTAACCTCTACATCTATAAATGACTATATTTCAGCAGTGCATAAAGCAAGGCCTTTGTACTGTAGATAAAATATACAAAAGTGCTTTTAAAGATGAGGTATGTCTTTTATACACTGAGAGAGAATATTACACACACAGAGTTCTAAATTTATTTAGAATAATCATATCTATTGAAAAATATTCCTCTTTGTATTTTGTCCAGGGTCTTGTTCCTAAACAAAATGATCTTTTGAAAATTCTGAGAACTCTGTTAACTTAAAACCTGATCCTTCATGTCCTTCTATAGGTTTTTCTGAATGATATAAATAGTTCAATAGGAAGATAATGCTTCTTTTGATTCCAGTAGTATTACTCACATGAGCCGGAGTAAGTCATGTGAGTTGTGATTTGCTGAATCATAGTTTAGCTATCTTGAAATAGTTTGATGAAAAAAATCAAGCTTTGGGTTAGAGGGCAAACAGGAAGATATAAAAGGAATGAACAATACTTTAACTTCTAGAAAATGTTCCTTAAATGGACTCTATTAATAGTACTAAACAAAAATGCTTTTTATAAGCAGTTCAATATGGTGTATAGACAGCCACTGTTCATTTTCAGTGACAATTAAAATAGATGTCATTGGCAGTTTAAACCAAATATCACTTAAATTTAAATTTTTAAATTATACTGGCTATATAAGGTACTTGCCAAGTTTACCACTTACCTGTTTTTAATAAGTGGTCATAGTACAACTGGTTGCTTATATTTCAGATAGAATTCTGGCCCATAACCTGTTTCCTTAGCAACCATATATGAATAAAAGGTTCCTTACTAAAGCTGCAGATGTGCATTGGTGAATGCATATTAACCAGTGGAATCTATCTGCATAGTTTATGCTCATAGTAATGAATGCATAGCGAAAATCACCACGACAGAGGTTACCAAGCATGTCCCAAAGCAGATTATTAATTCTCCAAGGGCCTGATCCAAAGCCTGTTGAAGTCAGTGGAAGCCTTTCCATGCTTTCATGGGCTTTAAATTAACCCAGATTGACTAGACAAGATTACCATGCAAATGTATGGTAAAAAGGCCTAATCCTACTAAAGAAAGCCTGGACCACTTGTGTAAGATTCTGAGTACCTACAATTCCTTTTACTGGTTTTCAGAAGGTGCTCAGCCTTTCCAGGACTGAGACTAGAGCCAGTGTCTAGTAGCGAGATTTATATACTGTACTTGACTTAGAGCTAGTCTTAGATAAATGGATTTCTCATGAAAACCCCATTGCTTATGGTATGTTTGTTCCACCCAAAATACCAGGTCTGGAAGTCATGGCAATGAAGTACTTTTTTTTGTCTTTTGAAAAAGTAAATTATAGCGGAATGAAAGCAGCTACTCGTATGGATTGGCTGAGATGATTCAAGGACCAGATTGCAACCTTTAGGCAATTCTCATCCTTTTCATCAAAATAGGAGTAGCACTGCTAATTCAGAACAAATAAGCATATCAGGCTTGGTGGAGTCTCCACTGACAAAATTAGGCCAGAGACTAGATTTGATGAAATGCTAACAGTTTATTGAGCATTATCAACAATAGAATATACCATAAGCAAAGCCATTTGAAAACTGTAAAAATACAAAGGCATAAAAATACTAAATTTCCAGGGGGGCTCTTAATTCCTGTATTTTAAAAAGTAGGTAAAATATGTTTAGCCAAATTCCTCCCTGACACAAGTCACACTGAAATTATGCCAGAGATGTATCTTGCCCTTGTTTTAAAATGTTCCTTTATGTGTGGAATGAAAGCTTTCGTACTGCTTTTCAGGAAGGCATTGGTCATAAGCATATGCTAGATCCTTAACTAGATCATTACTAGTGGACACACTGGTAAATGTTTAAATTAAAAACTAAGATGTTAATGATTAGAAATGGCAGGGGAGGAAATGCAAGGATCCCCTCTTCCCCCACTCTGGTTTTATTCTGAGAATATCTTTGCTGGGACATGTATTACAAACAGGCTGACTTAAAAACTACTGAAGTCAATGGAAGACTTCTATTGATTTCAGTCAGTTTTAGAACAAGCTCTAACAGAGATGCTATTATAAGTAATGTGAATTTTTGAGAACACTTTGAATATGTTCATAAGTATCCACAAATATGCCAGAATCTGATATTTCTCTTGTTTATCTTTTATTATTGTACAGTATGCTTTTTGATAAAATGTGATCAGGCATAGATACAAGCACAATAACCAAAGCTGTGTGATTTTACACCAAGTACTGAATGGTTATTTCTACATTATTTTTCTAATTTTAATCAGTCTGATTAGGAAAGCTGTAGGTTCTGAAATGTCTACACAGTTTTAGATCTATAACTTGTTTGACATTTGTTCCACTGTAATAAACCATCTCTAATATTGTGACTTCACATGCATGAGAAAGGGAACTGTGGAAATACAAGACCAACTCTGGAGACACAGCAGGCCCCTCTATAATGCTATACTTAGTGATTGTTTTTAAATTCATAGCAGCTTGGATCTGAGAACAGAATAAATCAAGAGTAACTCTACTGAAACCAGTATAAAGCTTGTGTAAGTGAGATGGGACCAGATGTTAGGGCTTAGTTTTTACATCTTTAATCAGAGTTGAAATCAGTAGCAGTTTTGCATGAGGGAGAACTTCAGGACTGGACCCAACAGAAGATCTATGGGTTGGGGGTGCAGTCATGCAGTTGAATCCCCTTTTGATTCATGCTGTACCCCAACTTTAAAAACAATTACCTAAGAGGAACAGTGGCAGTTCAATTCAGTCAACACTGAAGGAGTCTGTTGATGTCATGGTTTACTATAATCTATCTGGTTCCTGCTAATCTGTCTTCACTCCATAGGTGTTAAGACCGTCTTTCCTTGTTAATGGTCTTAATGTTCCACTATTCGAACTGTCCTTTCTTCTGCATTTTTGCTGCCTGTTAGCCATTCCTGGTAATGTCTCTCTTCTGTTTCATAGCCCTGCAGACTGTTTTTAGTTCAAGCTACAAGTCTTAACTCTGGGGTAATAGTCATTTCTACACCTGAGTTAATATTGAGTGAAGTATCGGCGGCATGGTCAAGATGCTCAAGAAGACTAAATTTTGTTTTAAGAATTTGAATAAGAGATGTATATTTAGCTATAATGACTACAGAACTAACTAAACCATATCTTTTTACTTTTTTGACTATTTTTAACTAGCCTGTTGTGCTTTTACAATTTAATATATAATCTAGCAAATTACTGAACATTTCAATAAAGTTATTTGTTTTTCCTTGACCTTAAACTGAATAAAGAGTGCTAGGCCTGTAGCTTATTAGCAAAGCATCTAGTTTCTCTTTACCTAGAGAAAAATGTGCTGTGTTAGGACAATGCACTATCTCATCTGCACCCCCCTTTAAAAATCCTAGATACACCCATAGAGCCCAGAGCTCTGAGTTATGCCTTCTAGATTCACCAGCACAAGTCCTGTTAACTGCTACATTCAGTGGCACAATCTGACCAGAGTGAAAATCTAAAATATGTACTCCAAGCCTGCAGCATGCACCAACTGTACAGACCACTAGTTGTTAATGCAGAGTTGAATTTTGCCTGAGACCAACTGCACAGACCTACGATTTTAAAGAGACAGTCATCAATCATGTCACAGTAATCAGTTCAGTAAGAAACTGTGACCAACACAATTTGTTGGATGGGGGAAGGTGGAATTTGTATTTTAACTGAAAAAAAATTGGAAAAATTACCCCAAATATTAAATAATTTCCCCCTTATTATATTGCACTGTCCACAGTTATAAAATATATCATAAGATGCTAGTTGAAATATAACTACTGTGGAAAACCATGATAGACAAAACTAAGTAGTAATGTTCATTTTAATATCATATCAGAAAAATAGGTATCACATTGTAAAATGTGAAATAAATTCTCCATAACATTGTCACATATAAAACTCCCATTTTATAATTCTGAAAAATGTTACAAATGGGCTCAGATATTTGTAGGAGGCTTCCTCAGAAACTGGAAAAGAAAAGATTAAATACACTACTTTACAGTTTTAATTCTGACAATTGAATGAATAACAGAATATAACATTATTGTCCAAAATGCCTAACCTGCTTTTTTTGTTTTAAAGCTATTGAGATATAACAATTAATAAATTTAACAATGAGAATAAAAACATGAAAAGGAAGATAGGAAAACTTTCAGTTTGTAAGCACAGCTTCATAACTACCGTTATCTGTGAGCTAAGGTCATAAATGTAGGAGGATGGAAAACGGTTTATCAGCAGAACAAGAATATAACAAACTGAAGATGGAAATAATACTGAGACTGTTCCAGAAGAGACACAAGATGCAAGGCCTGCTGAGTTTCTCGTAGCAGTGCAGCAAGTCACGTGTTAATCTTCTGCCTGGCAGAAGTATTTGGATATATGCCAGTTAATGCAATTGCTTGACTTTTTTTCTCTGGACTGGTGAAGAGACAAAGGCTGATTGTTCCTTTCTTAAAACTTGTCTTGTTCATTTTATTAATGGGATTTGCCTACAGTTGCACATAAGATTAATTGTACAAAGCTAACATGGAGGAACAGACTCATTTTGGGGCATGAGCATGGTTCACACTGGCTGGGAGGGATGAGGCAACTGTAGTGATGGTTCTCCTAATTCCCCACCTCTTCCCCCCAACCGAGGTTTGCATAGAAGAAGAAGAAGGGAGAGGAGCAAAGTATCCAGGCTTCATGGATGGCACAAATGGAGGCCAGCATGGTGCTGCCTTGAGCTGCTGGGTTCTTCCTGCTGTTTACTCTGTCATGTCAAAGTACAGTGGTGCTGCTTGAGAGGCAAGGAAGAAGCTTTGTTTAGGTGCTTTGACACCAAGAGATGGGGGCAGGAAGCCAGTCAGAAGGAGTTTTTCCTCAGGCAGGCTAAATTCATGAGAAGGTTGTCTCCTCATTATTAGAGTTGGCACCAACCCAGGCCAAAATCCCACCACTGGTGAGACATTTGCAAGAGCTGGCAACGCTCTATATAGTTTCCACTCGTGTTAACAGGGAGACTGCCTAACAGACAGTGTGGAACCATTAAGCCATAGTTTCATATACTCTGAAGGGAGGAATGCCACATGTCATGGCATGCAGATGTGAAATTACCTCAAATGAGTAGCAAAACATTCAAAGTCCATGACTGTTTTGAAATATCAGCTGGGAACAATATTGTACTACTTCTGGAATTGCACTACTTCTGAAATGGATTTGCACACTTGCGAACTATTTTTACAGTGTTTGTGTAATTCTGCACTGACTCTAGCAAGATTTAGTGAAAGCTCAGTTGGGTCCTGTGGCTTTTCAGCAGGAGCAAGTTCTGGGTTTGAAGGAAGTGCCTTGCTTCAGTGAACAGAAAACTTCTAAACTGGAATCCTTCTTGGCAATCAAGAGATGAAACTGTTACACACCAAAGAGCTTCCTTCATAGCATCTGGGTTAGAAGAACAGCCACAGCACCATTGAGCTGTTAGGGTGGGTCATGAAACACACAGGATGATTGGATAATCAATAAGGGTTCTACCCCATATAACAACATGTTTATTATTGTCTATGTAAAAATCATAGTACCAAGACAAATCATTCATGCAAAAGAACAGAATAAAATCCCCACCCCCTCCCACCACCGCATCTGACTGTAAGCCCCATTCTGCCAAGTCCTTTGAAAACCCAAGCACCTGAGAAAACAGGCTTTGCAGACTATTTCAGACAAAAGAGCAGGACATACTGTATAGGAAGAAGATAACTTTTACTGTGCCTTGAGCTGCAAGCACTTCTCCAAACTAAGTTATTAACTTTTTTATTGTTTCATTTAGGTAATTACTTGTCTGCCTTCCTGACAGTAACAGTGCTCATATTATCATTGCACACTTTGCTAGGAGAAAACTAATTGGATGAAGGCAAGCATAAGAACTAAGACTATTGCTAAAAATGTACTTAGAAGTGTTACATTTAGACCATACTAAATCGGTGGAATGTTAAACAGTGTTAAAGTTAGAATGTGCTGTGAGCAGTCTCACATTGAGGGTTAATACTGTTTCTTGCCTGCACAGCTCTAGCTTGCCTCAAGAGGCCTACCAAGCAGGAGCATGGCTAGGAACCAGGATATCTGGGGAGCTTGTACATCTGACAGTTGTCATGATGTACACATGATGAAAACATAATTTATATGGCTTAATGTCATCATGCATTACATGTGTGCCAGTTTTGGGGGTTTTAAATGACTTTGCATCATTGCAAACTAAACTACATCCATATGTAGTTTAGTTTGCAATGTTGCAAATTGCAATAATGCAGCTGCCAGTTTAGCCCCAGCTGTGGGAGAGGAGGGCAGGCTCCACAGGAAAAAAGGGTTGGGCCCCTCTCTGCTTCTACCTTCACCAGGCACCTCCTGAAGGCAGAAGTGGTGAAGGGCCCAATCCTTCTTTTCGGAGGAGGAGGAGGAGCCTGCCCATCTCTCCCATGGCTGGAAAGCAAACTGCCAGCAGCCCAAACTGAGCAGCCCCTGAGCTGCGGGGGGATCCCAGTCCTTCCCTCTGGGGTGGTGGCACCCCAGGGCTGCCCAGGTGGGCTGCTAGTGGGCCGGGTACTGCCCCAGCTCAGAGGCAGCACCCGGACAGATCTAACTCTTCCCAGAGCCTGCCAGGGCTTCCAGCACCCTGTGCACTGTCCCTTCTATCTTCCTGCCACCTGGGAGCACCTGAAAACAGGATGGCTTGCCCCTGGGTCAACATGGGGAGGTGGCAGGAGAGAGGCTAAGTGTGCTGGTGGCCTGAGAAGGTCATGGGGAAGGTGCATGGGACTCTGAAAGCCCACCAAACCTGAGTTTCCCTAAGCCCCTCAGGCTTTCAGTGGCCTGTGCACTGTCTCCACCACCTTCTTCGGCTGCCTGCACACCCAGCTGCTCTCCTGCTCTTATGCTGTGGAGGAGCACAATACAGATGAGGGTAAATGCAATCCTGATGCTGCATTAGTGACCTCAAGCCAAGGAAAGGAGTTCCTGCCCCTCTCCCCTATCCTTTCAGAAAACTCCTAATATAGCCCATTTAATGTACTGAAAATAACAGAATGGCATACATACTCAGTTCAAGGCAGCTGGGGTAAAATAGTATGTTCAAAGTATACAGTAAAAAGTGTGAGAAATGAAGACAAGGAACTGAGATCAGTTCCTCTGTGACTATCCACAGAGCAGTCTGATTATGTGGCATTATTATTCTGAAGTGTCAGCCAACAATGGCTGTTTTGCTGTCACTGGCTCATAGCTGCATAATATTTGTCTACCTATACAGTATATAAATCCCTGCACTTGGATTCGCTATTACACTCAATACCTTAGAGCCATATGCCCACAACAGATATGGTCTCTGCAGTTTCACACTTCACCCAGTGAGACTTTATATAGTTCCAAAGTGTTTGTGCTTTTTTTTCCAGTGAAAGAATAACTACATTCATTACAGTACCTCTAAAAAGCAGTGTACCATTCAACATTTTAATATAAAATTACTGCGAGGTTTATAAAGTTTAATATAAAATTTACTGTGAGATGGCAATAATTATAAGAGTGTTAGTTAGCCATGTTAGTTAGAAATCATCTACAAGGCAGGGGAGGGTTGCACCATATAAACTAACTTGTTCAGAAATGCATAGGCAATAGCCTAGTTTGTCAGATGTAATAATTAGGAACCTACTCAGATCACAATTTCACAATTTTTGCAGAAACCACAAAAACAGTGGTTTCTACAAACACCAGTAAAATGACCAGTTCCACAATTTTGCACAGAATTTCCAGAAAAAAATTTACTAAAATAAAATTCTGATTCCCAGTAGGAGACAGTGGCCGCTGCGGCCCAGTCTTGCAGCCTGCTGGTAGGATGCAAGTCACCAGCATGGAGGGATGCAGCCAAGATGGTGGCTGTCTCTTCTGCTGCTGGTGTGGCTGAGGGGGCTGCCTTTTGTGCAGCCCTGGTCCTTTCCATCAATCAGTGGGGAGAGGTGGGGCCATATGAAGGGCAGCCCTCTCAGCCAATCAGTAGTAAGGGGCAGGGTAGCACAAAAGGCAGCCCTTTCAGCCAATCAGCAGTGAGGTGCAGTGCCAGTGGGGCCCCTTGGCCAATCAGCAGCAGTGGAGGATCCCTGCTGTGATAAGCCCATGAAAATGGCATCTGGTGCTGCCAGCAGCCTGTGAAATCTCCTGTCTGCTGCCTCAATTTGGATAGGTCCCTAGTAGCAATACTTATTTTATATAGCAATTATTATATCC